GTTTTTCAGGATATCTCTTTGTTGGGAACATAACCAGATATGATTAAAATTTTCCTTTTCATTGTTGCAAACACAACTTAACCAATTTTTATCATATATGTCAAATCTTCTTGCTTTTAAAATTTCAATTGTAGGTCGCGAATTACGGGTAATTTTTTAGATTTGGAGAGATCTGCATTTTATTTCAGATCACGTGAATCAATTATAGGCAGTGTTGAGATTTATGTGCAAGTCATATTAATATATATATCAGATACAATCCGTTATACGTAATAAAAAGTTTAATTAATAATATCCGTTATAGAAAGAGATTTCAAATAGTAAAAAATCGGGACCAAGCTTTTAATTCGTTATAGAGAAAAATCCGTTATAGAAAGATCCGTTATAGACAGTGATGTCAAAAAGTATACGTCGGCCAAGTCAATCTCCGACCAAATCCAATCGGACTCATTTTCGAACAAAACTCAAACCAGCAAAAAAAAAACAGAAATTCTTTTAATTGGAATGGAATAAAAATTCCTAAAAATGGTTTTAAAAGTGATTGATGGTCCACAAAGTTAAAAATTTATTAAAAAATATGATTTTCCTTAAAACATCAACGGGTTTTCCTAAATTTATTTATAAGAATATATTATTAAATGATGTTTTTAATGACCTTTTTTGAAAAAAAGTTTAGCGGGTTATAATAGACTAGGTTTCATTGCAATAACCTAAATAAATGTTCAAATTTTACTGGTGAAAAACATTACCATATATAGAAATGATGGATAACTATGAATGTTTGCCTTATTTCCAAAATCCGACCATATTAATATAATGTATATACGTTTTTGGGTAATTAATGTCTGTCTGGTAATGAACATCAATTTAGGTCTGAATTTGGAGAATCAACTATTTTATTTATTAATTAGTATCAGTATTAAATATCATAATAATCAATATGGGATCCAGACTTGAAATTATTTTTAAACAATAAATTTACAAGTTTTTGTGAGGAATCATTCATATCAAGCAACTGATTATTATTAAAAAAGTTTGTGTAAAGTGTCTTTTGTTCTACATCTCCAATTGTTTCTCTAACTTGTTTTTGCATGTCATTGTTCAATGGCCCAGGTGCATAATTTAAAGTTTTGGTGTTATTACCTTCCTATCAATTTATGAATAATGTGAATAATGTGAATAATGGATGGATTTAACGTAATTGACAAAGTGATTAGTTTTACTTGCCTCTTCAAGAGAGATTACAGCTAGATAAGTATCTCTGGCACTTTTAGCCATACAATATAATCCCCAATTGGGTGTTGGTTTTATTGCAAGTAAAGATGAAATATTTACAATTATACGTTGATTTGTCAAGGAGGATTTTAATCTTTTTAAAAATTCTGAACTTTAAAAAAAATAAAAAAGAGAAATAAATAAATATATAATGTGTATGTATTGTATTTGTATATGCATACAAGTGTATAACGTATTTACCATATTATAGTAAAAGATGTAATGTTTAAATTGATATATGATTGTGTTTCTTTAAAATTATAATCCTTAACTTTGCTCGACAAATCTCCTAATGTCCCTGCATTATTTATCAATATCGATTTTGTAAATGATAATTCCTTCGAACATTCCTATCAAACAAACAAACAAACAAAAGTCGATCAATCAATCAATCAATCAACCAACCAACTGATAATTAATTAGTATTTTTAATCAATCTACTTGCTTCAATTTGTTGCCAAAGTCTTTCCAAATTAGAATTTAAATTTTCCATTTCTTCAAGATCAAAATTCTCGATAATCCTAATATCAACAACTGTTCCTCCTTCTCCTCCTTTATCATCATCTTCTTTATTTAAAATATTTTGTTTGACTGAATTTAATGAATCGTAATTTCTACCAACCAAAACTAAAGTTAATTTGTTTACTATTGTAGTTGTTGTTGTTGTTGAATTTAATTCTTGGCGAAACTGTTTATAATAACTCTCAACTAAGCTTCTACCAAATCCTCTATTTGCTCCTGTTATTATAACTAAATGGTGATTATGATTATTACTAATATTAATAATTGTCATTTTGATAATTACATCTATCTGCTCTGTCAATCAATATTGGTAACATAAATGCGCCACAATTTTATTCTATAAATAAATAAAATCTAAATGTATTTTTAACCTTTTCGTACGCCAAAAATTTTATATACTAATGAAGGAAATCCTTTCTTTCCTTTTTTCCTTTTTTCTTATATATTAAAAGGATCGACATACATTGTCTATATTTAACTAGATTAGAGTAATTTTTAGTGGAAACATTGCATTTTAGAAGTATAAATGTAATATAAATGTATAATATTTAAAAATATTTTTAAAAAAAATTTTTTTTTTCGTATAAATTAATATTTTTTAACATGACTTCAGTTTTAAATTCGGAAGATAATGATATAGAAAACTCTAATTCAAATAATCAAAATCAATCAACGCCACCCGTTTCTCCAACCTCAACTTCACCTTCTGTGTCCACGAGCAATACTCTATTATTATGTTCTTCAAATAATGACAACAAGAGGGAGACTATCACACTTCCTTCTTCATTTAAGTTTATTAAAAAACATGGAAAAATTTGTATTTATGATTCAGAAACAAAAATTTCCAAACCTGATCAGGTTAATTACAAGAATCATAAAGACGAAAAAGACATTGACAATGGTGAATTAGTAATGGAAGAAAATTATCTTTTTTATATCAAACCACCAAAAATTTCTAAACCGACTATTAAAATATTTTATAACGACGGCGACAACAACAACAAAAGGGACAGTAACAACAAGGGTGACAACAGTGAATTAGCAACAAGCATTTGGGTCGCAAAAACTGATAATCTAAATATTTGTAATGATAATTATCATACTAATCTTGTTCATGATTATCATATAAATCCATGTGCAACTTGGCATTTGAATTCTATTAGTAATGATAAAATTAAATCAAAATTTGATAAAGATTTAGTCAGTTATGTTATAATTTGGAATAACAAAAAATTCAATTGGATATTAAATATAAATTATACCAATACTACTACAAATACAAATTCTAATAATTCACCTCATAATTATAATCCTAGCAATAGGAGGAATACTGCAAATAGATCAAGTTTTATCAAATTTAATTCTTTAAAAAGTAAAATAAATAGAGTTAAACATCAAAGCCAAGAAAAAAACAGCGATGAACTTGAGGATGAAGAATTTGATAATAATAATGAAGTTAGGGTAGAAGAAGATATTTACTGTACAGTAGAAGACATTGGCGAAAACAGCAATAGTAGTAATGATAACAGTAACGATAATGGTAACGGTAACGGTAATGGTAACGGTAATCATCCAAGGAAAATAGCAATATTTAATGTTAAATCTGATACTTTGAAAGTCAATTCCCATTATATTAAAAAGTACTGTAATAACTTTAACGAAAATGAATGTATAACATTTTTATTAACAACAGGATTGATTGCTAAAAATTCATTCCACAAATTAATGCAAGAAAAAAAGGAAAGTGAAGCAACCAGAAAAGAACATGAGCAGGATCTTCGTTTTTATAATTGCATTCCTTTATTTATGTTCTGTGGATTATATTGTAATTAATATATTAGAATGGTTTGGGTAGAATATGGTATGGGAATATGGGACGGGAGATTGGAATATAAAAATCAATTGGTTAAAATATATGGATAAACAATATATGATTAAATATCAAATTATTTTGTATGATATAAATATTTTATTTATTTCTAAAATTAAAAAACACTTTTCCATTTTAAATAATAATAATCGATTACTCTCTTTTTTCGTATAGAAATATAATAATTTACAAGTCAACGAAGCATACGTAAATATGCTATATTCAAAGAAAAAAAAAGATTAGATATTAATATTAAAAATACAAATTATTAAAATATATAATATATATAATTACCTAAAATTAAAGCACCAGCACCAGTCAATGTACCAAGAATATATTGTAATATTTGAAATCTTATGGATTCCATTTGAGTCTTCAACTTGCCTATTTCGCCATCAATTTTTGAATCAGTTTCTTTGATTTTCAATTCCAATGTACTAGCACCATCTCTTATTCTACCCTTTTCCAAATTTAATTCCAATTTCGCATTAGCTTGTGTGTGTCTAATACTTTCTGTTAGCTTTTGATTTAATTTTTCTACCTCGCTAATTATTCTTTCATTGTCAGTCTTCAATATTTGAAAATCATTCTTTTCTAACATTTGTATTTCAGACTTCAACTGTGCAAAATCCACCTTTGATTTGTAAATTGTCTTTTATACATAACCCGATTAGTTTACATATTCAATTAATTGGAAAAAAATTTTAAAAATAAAGGGAGAGTGAATACCTTCTCTTGTTCAGCCTTTGTTACCAAATTTTTAATTAGATTATTCATACTTTCATCCAATACTTCAGACATTGATTTCATTATAGCTTCACTTTGTTGCCGAGTAAATCCTTCAGCTTCAAGTTTTTGCACAAATGTACTTGTGTCAAAATATTGCGCTTTAAATATTTTTGAAATACTAAAATATCTTTTAATGTTATTATAGTTATAATCATTGATCTTTGAATTATTATAATTATTGATAATGTTATTGTTGATTTTATTTTTGTAGTTATGGTCACATGTTATAAAATTATTAATGTTGTGTAAACTTTTATCATTACTACTATAATTACTACTACTAATTTTATTTCTATTATTTACATTGGTTGCAATTGTGGAATTAATTATAAAAGAAGTAGGGGAGAGCAATAATATGTTGTTATGACTGTTAGTCATAATTGGTAATTTTCTTATATTAAAAAAACTTTTAGTCATTTTTTTTCTTTTTTTTTAATAAAATTTAATAAAGACAATTATCAGGTTAATATTAATATAGTAATATATAGATTCGGTCTACTGATAATTGTCAAATAAAATATGCATGTCAATTTATTAAAAAGTAAAAAATTATCCTGAAGGGAAAAATTAAAAATTAAATTATTTGAAAATCGGTCACACCCCCACAAACCTAATTTTTTAAACTTCATTTCCATGGTACAAAAAGTATTACTAATAAAATACGCACAGCTTTTTGAGATAATTGGCTATATAGCTAGTAGCTTTTTATTACCACGCTAAACTATATTAATTTTAGATAAAATTATTTTTATTACGCGGTCGACGCGAACTATTATTATAAAGTACAAGAAAGTTGAAGACTTTCTCAATTTGATTTCTCTCTATAGTGGAATTTTACTAAACAAAAAAAAAAAAAGAATCCGTTAGTATCAATCACTAAAACTAAAAATCTGATGATGAATCTTTGTTGAAGTTAGCGTGAAAGGGCGCACACAAGTAATATTTATTTATCCTTATATGTATTACCAGAAGAATTGTTTGTTACACGCCATTCAGTTCAAATAATGGTTATACCCATTCCCCCATTTTCTCCACTCTATTTATTAAAACACCAAGTCGAGTTTTATATAATGACATTTAATAATTTATTATCACCAGTAAGATATGACATTGTATTTAAAACTGACAATGAAATGCGTAATAATGCATTAGTTAATTCTGATAAAAAATTATTTTTTTTCATTAGTTGAAAAAAACAATGAGCTTTCTAAAAATGAAAAAGAATATTGTAAAGAGTGGTTTATTTATGAGTTTGAATCAAATAATGCAATTTATAAAGAGGGGAAACCAAAGGAATGTAACAAGTGTAGATTGACAAGATACTCTGATAGGTTCTGTGAAGGTTGCATCAGTTTAAAATTACAGAGTCTTTTCACTACTTGGACATCTGGGAATGGCATAGTTGATAATTTTATTCAA